GTTTTCCCCTCCCAGGACGCGGGGAGGGGAGGGGGGACCCGGGGAGGTGTTTTTGGGGGGGATTGCCGGGGGCTGATCCTGCTGCTCCCCCAGGAACGTCCTGGAGCTGATCGAGTTCTTCGAGGAGGAGGAGAGGTTTTACCTGGTGTTTGAGAAGATGAGGGGAGGTGAGTGCAGTGCCAGGCTCAGGGTGGGGGGGGCTGGGGAGGGGGTGGCAGGACCCCCCACGAGCCCCCTTCTCTGCTCTGCCCTGGCCCCAGGCTCCATCCTGACCCACATCCACCGGAGACGCCACTTCAACGAGCTGGAGGCCAGCGTGGTGGTGCGGGATATCGCCAGTGCCCTGCACTTCCTGCACAACAAAGGTGAGCCCCTGGGGTGCCCTGGGCCCTCCAGGGGGTGTCACTACCCCCCCCCCCAGCCCCCTGCCCAGGGGACGATGCCCATCCTGGTCTGGCCCAGCTGCACCACACGGCTCTCTGTGCTGCTGAGGATCCCGTTCCTCCGGTTCGTTGGGACTCGGGGCCAGCAGCGATCCCTGCCCTCTGCCCTGAGTGCAGGCAGTGATTTGGGGTGGGGAGGGAAGGGTCCCTGTGCCACCCCCAGACCTTTCACTGTGGAGCTCTTTTGGGGGGGGGGATTTTTGGCCTCATTGGCTCTTCTGTTTTCCCCCCCCGCAGGGATCGCACACAGGGATCTGAAACCGGAAAATATCCTGTGTGAGAGCCTGGACCAGGTGAGAGGGAACGGCTGGGCTGGGTGCTGGGGGTGCTGCCTGGGGGTGAGGGGGTGCAGGAGGGTGTGTCTGGGGCTGATGGACACGCTGGGGTGCTGCCCCGGGGGCTGGTGGGCATGGGGGGTGCTGTGTGGGGGTGGTGGACACCATGGGATGCTTCCTGGGATGGTGGGTGCAGAAGGGGGTGATCCTGGGGGGGCTGTGGGCACAGTTGGGGTGCTGTTGAGCGGGCCAGTGGTCACAGGGGGTGCAGCCCCAGGGACACCCCCCCCAATATGCCACAGCACAGGGTGGTGTGAAGCAGGACAAGCCCAGGCATCGACCAGCTGGGGCCTGGAAAGCACAGGCTGTGCTCTTTGTGGAGGGGAGGGGGGCTGCCGGGGCAGGGGGGAGGTCACCAACCACTCCTCCTCCCTCCCTACCCCCAGGTCTCCCCGGTGAAGATCTGCGACTTCGACCTGGGCAGTGGCATCAAACTGAACGGCGATTGCTCCCCCATCTCCACCCCGGAGCTGCTCACCCCGGTGAGTGCTTGTGGGGGGCGTCAATCCCTTGGTGGGGGTGTGGAGGGGAGGGGTCCTGCAGGTTTCGGGGCTGGGGCTGTGCGTGGACACCCCCATGGTGATGCTGCGTGTCCCCCCCTCGTGTCCCCCCCCGCGCTGTGGCAGGAGCGATGCGGTTACATAAGGCGGGGGGGGCCGGGCGGGGGGGCTGGCGCGGAGCCCGGGCTGAGCCTGGGTGAGCCTCGCTGAGCCTTAGCAACAGCCCGAGCCACAGCCCGAGCCGGCGCGGCGGCTGCGCGGGGCTGCCCACGGGAGAAGTGGGTCAGGAGCGGGTCTGGGAGGGGGACGGGGGGGGTGGGGGGGGCTGCGGGAACCCCCCCCCGATTCCTGGGCTGGGCCCCGCCCCCCCCCCCGCAGGTTGGACACCCCCGAAGCTCGCGGGGTGACCCCCGTGTTGCACAGACCCCCCCCCCACACACACCCCACTATCACAGAGAGCCCCGCTCGCCTTATCTGCAGCAGCAGCAGGTCCCGCCCTGGGCAGGGGTGTTGTCCCGCACCCCCGTATTTTTGGGGTGCGCACGTGCTGGGGGAGGCGGAGCCCCGGCTGGTGCGGGGGCACAACAGCGGGGAGGGGGGGGGGGCAAAGCAACCCGGACCCCCTCGTTGCGCTGTGTGTACCCCCCTCCTGGGGCGGGCTCGGAGTCTGTGAGGTGTCCCGAGTTCCCCGTTCTCAGCCCGAGAGGGGGTGTCTGCCCCATTCCCACCGGCATCAGCCGTGCCGTGGAGTTGGCTGCCCCATTCCCACCGGGATCAGCCGTGCCGTGGAGTTGGCTGCCCCATTCCCACCGGGATCAGCCGTGCCGTGGAGTTGGCTGCCCCACTCCCACTGGGATCAGCCGCGCCGTGGAGTTGGCTGCCCCACTCCCACCGGGATCAGCCGCGCCGTGGAGTTGGCTGCCCCACTCCCACCGGGATCAGCCGTGCCGCGGTGCCGGGCTCGGGGCTGTGCTGTGTGTGTGTGTGTGTGTGTATGTGTTGGGGGGTTTGTTTTGCCGCGGTGCCATCAGCTGCTGGGGCTGGGGAGGCCCCCGGTCGGGGAGAGGCCCCTCTCTCGTTCCGGGGTGATTATCTGCTGGCTGCAGCTCTTTTTCTCGCCCTGGTCACGAGGCCCGTGTGGGCTGCGGGTCATGTGCTGGAAAGCCCCAGAGTCCCTGGAGCGATCGGGGAATGGCTGGCGCTGCCTCCCCCTTCCAGCGGGGTTAACTCCTCCCTCCCCGGAGCCTGAGCCTGTTCCTGCTCCTGCTCCGGCTGGGCTGCCTGGAACGGGCAGGGGAACAGGCAGAGCAGGATTGTCCCTGCGTGTCCTGCAGCCTCTCCCTGGCAATGGAGCGGCCGCTGCCCTGCTGAGCCGGTTGGGTGGCTGCGGTGCTGTGGGGTGTGGGTGCTGTGGGGTGTGGGTGCTGTGGGGTGTGGGTGCTGTGGGGTGTGGGTGCTGTGGGGTGTGGGTCTGGCTGTCCTGCTGCTGCCCTGCGGGGGGTTGCACCCTTTAGGCTTTATTTTCGTTCCCCTGTGGGGTGGCAGCTCGCTGGACAGGCAGGTCTGTGGCATCCCCTGTGCTGGCAAACCCTGCAGGACAGTCTGCCCTGGCAGGAGCAAACCCCAGGGAGCAGCCCTGTCTGCACCCTCCCTTCCAGGGGTGCAGCCCCGTAGCTCTGGCCCCCCTTGGTGCCCCCCCTTTGGGCTCACCCGCCTGTCCCCACAGTGTGGCTCAGCCGAGTACATGGCCCCAGAGGTGGTGGAGGCCTTCAACGAGGAGGCCACGATCTACGACAAGCGCTGTGACCTGTGGAGCCTGGGGGTCATCCTGTACATCATGCTGAGTGGGTACCCCCCCTTCGTGGGCCACTGCGGCTCCGACTGCGGCTGGGACCGGGGCGAGGCCTGTCACACCTGCCAGGTACGGGGGGGACCCTGCACCACCAAACCCAGCCCCAGTTTGGCAGCGGCGCCCCTGACTGAGCCCCTGTGATTGATTTTTCTCCCCATCCTCCTCAGAACATGCTCTTTGAGAGCATCCAGGAGGGGAAGTACGAGTTTCCCGACAAGGACTGGGCGCACATCTCCTTCGGAGCCAAAGACCTCATTTCCAAGCTGCTGGTGAGAGATGCCAAGAAGAGGCTCAGCGCAGCCCAGGTCCTGGAGCACCCCTGGGTGCAGGGGGTGAGTGGTGATGCCCCCTCCCTGCTCTCTGCTCCCAGAATTGGGGCTCCTGGCTCTGACCGGCTGCGTTTCATTGCAGTGCGCCCCGGACAACACCCTGCCAACCCCCATCATCCTGCAGAGGTGAGTGTGGGATGGGGGCCCAGCCAGAAATACTGCCCCAAAACCAAAATCCCAGCCCCGAAAATCCTGGCTCCTCTACTCCTGCTGTCCACTCCTGCTGCTTTTGGGGGGCTCTGCCGCCACGACACTGTCTGGGCAGCAGCAGCTGCTGTGAGTTGGGTCCAAGCCAAGTTTTTGGCGCCTGATCACGGCCGGCACATGAGGAGGGACGCCCTGCCATGTGACCCTGAGCCCCCCTGCAGCCCCCCTGAGCCCCTGCCTCCCCCGCAGGAACAGCAGTGCCAAAGAGCTCACCTGCTTCGCTGCCGAGGCCATCGCTGTCAACCGGCAGCTGACGCGGCACGACGAGGACGAGGAGGATGAGGCGGAGGAGGAAGCACGACCCATCATCATCAAAGCTACCTCACGGGCCATGCAGCTCTCCCCCCCTTCCGAGTCCAAGCTGGCCAAGCGGCGGCAGAAGAGCAGCCTGGCCAAGGCAGTGGCCGCCGGGCAGCACCTGGTGGCCCCGCTGGTCCTGGTGGCCGACCAAGCCTGAGCGGTGCCCCCT